AAAAATGCACTCATTTTAATTCATACAAAAAAATAGATCAACATTTCAATGTGAAAATCATCAAGATGATTTTATTTAACTGAATTCTCACTTTAAAAAAAATCAAAAAAAGATTATTGTCTTATAGACGGATTGATATGTTTCTTAGTCTGAACAGATTTTAAACAATTTTGGCAAAATGTTTGTTAGTTTAGAAAATTGATATATTAAATGACGACCTATGAAAAAAACTCATGCTCATATTCAGAATTAGCATGAATGATAGCCGACTATTCAGCAGATTATGTTGAGAAAGCAATCGTTTTTTTAAAACTGTTCCCCTATGAGATATTATTTAACTTAGTTCATCCGATTCGGAGTTTACTAGTAGTCAAATTGTTCTTCTCAAGTTTGCTGCAAGTATCCAAAGAAAGAAATATGTACGTATGAATGGATAAAAATATTCTGTAAAATTACAAATCTGTTCGAATCGTTTCTTGAATAAATCAATTCTTCATAAATAATTTTCAATAATGATCAAAATTTTGTGCTCTCTTTAAATATGAGATCAGAAATAGTGCGTCCATATTTGTTCGATACTAGTGAAGAAATTTTTAAAAATCCAAAACATTAAATTAAATGATGAACCAATAGGCTTTTCTTAAACCCTATAAGTTTCTTTTCAATGATGATAAAGAAATATTCGAGTTGGTTGTTTTATCAAGCGAATAGTTCTTTGTAAAATGTTATATTGAACTAAACTGTGACTTTTATCTAAGTGAAACTATAAGCATTTTGCCAAATGCTTCTTTCTATACAAAACATCTTTTGATCAACAAGTCAATTTTTCAATAATAAGAGTTTACGAGAAACGAAAACTAAAGCAATCTATAGAAAAAAACAAAAGAAAACTTCAATAGTACATTTTGTAGGGTAGTTTCTGATCTACAAGCTGATATATTAATAAAAGTTTCAATATTTACTTTCGAGTTGCAATTGTGAAAGTACAAAAGAGTCCAAAAAAATTTTCGTTCAGACTATTTTTTAACCCTTTCAAAAGATCATCTCATTGGTCTCAAGAAAATTTCTAAGTTCACATTCGAAAAGAGCAGTAAATTCTAGTCATAACTCATAACTTTTGACGCACCGGAAACACTTTTAAGATGATCAAGAAAAACTTCTAGTCAAAGTATAAAATAAAATAAATGTTCAATTTTAACATGAAAACTAATGAGTGGTCCAAAAGTTTTGACCTGTCTCTGAAAATTGACATTATCTATATAAATACACTGTTTTATAGAGAACAGTTAAAGTTATCATCTAAAAAGAAAATAGTTCGAATTGCATCGACATCATGAAAAGTTATGATTATTTAATTGAGCATGAGTAAATATTTTTTGCGTCTCACATTTTTCTCGAAAAACAAAGTATACTTGTAAAGTTTGAAGCAAAATACTGTTTCCTAGATATTCTTATATGGTTTGATAGAGTTTGACAAACTCTACGAGAATATGAATATACAAAAAAAAATTCTGATCTTCTTTCCAATTCAAAACTTGAAGAAAATCAGAAAGACCGAAAAAATTCATGTATCCAGCATTAGAGAGAGTAAGTTGAATTTTCAATAACTTTAACTGATCGATTGTTCCGTCTGTTCGTGGATCTTGGAAGGAGTATTTTTAGCTTCCGTGTGTGACACTACATCTCAAAACATCAATTAACAGTCGACCAACTAATGTTCTTGAAAGTTAAGCATACTATCACATGTAAGACATGTGATGTTTTTATTAGTCTGCCTGATTTTCTCCAAGTTTTGTATTGGAAATAGAAGGAGATTTTCTTTTTTATTTTCATATTCTTACAGATCTTGTCAAACTCTATCAAACCATATGAGAATATCTAGAAGTTAATATTTCGCTTGACATCAATCACTGAGAAATTAAAAGAAGATTTTTCTTTTTGAAGAAAAATGTAAGATGTAAAATCCTTAATCTTGATAAACCCATTCGCGGCAACATGGCTATTGCTTCTTCATAATTCGTGAAAGGTTTCATTGCTTCATTTGTAGCAATTGAAGTACTTTAAAACAACTTTTATTAACGTTTCTCTTATCAACATAAGCTATGAATATTTCTTTATCAGCGGTAAAAGAATCAGTCCCTTTGATCCTAGTATGGCAGAGATATTCAATTTTTTATGTGATAAATGAACTTTTGGATCACCCTGTAGTGGGATCCACAAATGCCCAGATCGAAAAGTACGGGCCAGTTCCCGCAAGAAAGCACCAGAAATCAATGGAACATGGACGCAGTATTTCGGCCAGAAATTTTTCGAACTTTTTTCCGATGGATTCCAGTCAATTCATATTCTTTTCGATAGGAATACTGCCTCCATGTTTCGTTTATTTTCGGTGTTTTCCTGCGGGAACCGGTGATTTCTCCCCGTCTTTCTTGCCGATTCTTGCAGTGTCCGGTGATCGGAAGGATCGACCTGTGTGGATCCCACCGCCTCGAAAGGGTTAACAATGGAACCATAGCTTTTCATAGTCTTGATGAAATTCGAACCATTTTCTTTTCAGATGATAGCTTTAGTCTTTCTCTACAATATTCTGTACTTCATTTAACTATCTGCATATATAACCATATAGGTAATGTCAATTTATAGACAGCGATCAAAACTTTTGGATCATCCTTTCGAATAAGAACAATTAAGAATATGATAATAAATTCAACAAGTCAAATAATTACTAGTACATATTTCATTCAAAATACATCTGATGATCTAGTCATCAATTGCAAGTATTGTAGATAACTCAATCAGGGTACAACAATATATAACAATTAGCAGAATCGTTCAAAATAAATCCTTGATAATGATAAATGCTCGAATAATTTAACATATAATTCTATGAATCTTTAGCTATAATATATAGAATAATGCTACTCCATACCCAAAAGAAAGCATTATCTTAACTATTATTAGAAATTTTTACCGCTAATCACAAATGAAGAGATATTTGATCAACTAATCAATTGATTTTATTGACAAATAGATTTCTACTTTATATTCATGCTTAGTTTCATTTCATTGAATAGCACAATCCTCGTATTATATTCAAGTATTATTTTTCTTTATAATGAAAAAAAAATATGTCAGTATAAAATAACGTTAATTACAATATTTCACACACACGCATGAAAATAAAAATATGATTAAATTAAAGTCGTATAGACTGTATCACAAGTGATCATTTTCTTAGCCACAAAACTAATATCACAGCCAATGGTATACAAATAGCTAAAAATCCAATGAAAAAGCCAAGTATACCAAGTTTACAACGAGATGAACATTTATTAGTTAAACAAGCACACGTTTCATCCGAACTAAAAGAAAATGAATATTTTTTCTATAAACGTTTTCTTTCTTTTCAAACCTTGATATCATTCGTGCATTGGACGAATTATTACTGTTTACTGTTGAATCCGTTACTCTTGTAAATGAATTATTATTGTGTACTGTAGAATCCACCCCTTTTATAAATGAATTACTACTCTTAGTTGGCCATGAATAAGGTGATTTCATAAATGTAGGACTTGTTAACCTTGGATCAACTGATGTTTTCTCATATTGACCTCCATTCAATGGTGTTGGTGACCAAGGACCTGAACTTGATCGTAGCGCAAGACTATCAAAACGAAGCGATACGGATGCACTAGCTGGTGTTGGAGCTGTTGTCATTGGTGGAAGTCGTAATGCTTCTTGTTGTTTATATTTATTAGGTGGTGCATTATGATCCTTTTGATTTATATAAAGAAACAGATAAAACAATATAAATCTTATTAAACTTACCATTATATCTTCAATTGTCTCCATCTTGCTTTTTTCTTTTTCAGACTACAAATGATTTCTACTTCTTTCTTTTTTATTTTATTCATTTCAATATTATTTTTTGTAGCTTCTTGTAAGAATTTTTTATGTTGTTTTTCTTTTGTACATGTAAATAGAATAATGAAGTATTGGTTTTTTTTTCTTCTGAAATGATGAAACAAAACAATAAGCATATCGCAGAGAGACCTTAATGTTTTGTTAATTAGCTTTTCTGTTTTGATGAAATAAAATATATAGACTAACCATATTATTCCTGCTCGCGCTTGATTATTGTTTATTTAGTTTTTTGTGGAACTCACGTATATTTTCGAAGAAAATAATGAGTGTAAGTTTTAAGTTCGAGATTTGGCGGCTCCCCCCCCCCCCC